TTTTTTTTTTTGAGAACCACGCGTTCGACCGTGTCAATTAATTTACCAACCACGAGCTCATTGTTATGGATGTCTCGCGCCAAGGCTATGCAAGAAATGAAGGAGGAAAAAAGTTGTCCTCGATCTATACGTAGAGAGAGAGAGGGCGGTAAATTAAAAGTGTCGGGGCCGCGGGAGTGACGAGTAACGGGGAGTTTCGACAAAGGCCGACGGTACGTATAGAAACGGGCTTTTAAGCGCACCCGGGGAGCTCGTAATTGATACGGCTAATTGCACTCGCGCCTCTTGAATCTTAATTATATCGAGAGATTTTCTTTTTCTTTTTTTCTTTTTTCCTCTCTCTTCCCTTTTGGTGATTCGCGATGCGCACCTTTCGCCCTGATTTTTCAAACGAACGAGCGAGCCGATCGAAACACTCGATCGTTTCAACTTTTTTTTTTTTCTTCTCCAACCAACAACGCCAAAAAACCATCGCTGTGTATACGATAAAAAGTCAAAGGAGATACGCGTTTGCTTTTGTGCATAAGTGTTCATTAGTAGCCTCCGATATTCCGCGAAACTCGGTCTTGTCCCAGGTGTGGGTGGATATTTTTTAAGGTATATGGATGGATTATTTGAACGATCGAGCCTTTCGGCGTAAAAGTACCGGAAACTCCGGGGGAGCGTGAAATCGCTCGCGCGAAAAGGCAAGTAAATCTTGAGCCCCGCCCATAAATATACGTTTCAAGCTCCAGCGAGTACGCATCTTTTTTTCTCTTCTTTTCCACAACGAAATTAGATGTACAATTGAAAATCGATCGATTGAAAAAAAAAAATATATATATATATATATATGTACGTGTGTTAACAGGCGGGGGAAGGAGATAATGGCCGGGGAACAGTGGAGCGGCTGGCTGCAGCGCTGTCGCGAGTCACGAAGCCTCGTCCTCGTGATCGTCGCCATAGCTCTGCTGCTCGACAACATGCTCCTGACAACTGTTGGTAAGTTAATATAATCACGCAATTGGGAGTTTTTTTTTTTTGTACGAGTACTCTTAAGGAAAACGCGAAACTTTGGAGCTTAGCCACCATCCGGGGGTCAAAGCGATCGCGGAAAGAACAACTTTTAACAACCGATTTCCCAAAAGTTTTCTGCCTCTAATCGGCAAAAGCGAGCCGAGGGTGGAAAAAAAAAGGATGGAAATCGGAAACCGAGGAGCGCAATTAGTCGACCCCTGTAAATATACGCCGGCGAGAGAGCTTAAGACGACGATTGTCTCAACGAGTTCTCGGGTTGTCTTTGGAAAAAGCGTCTCATTTTGTCACCGGATGGGCAGCGTACTTTCACAAGTGGGCGACAAAAAGCTCGGTTAATTAAAATCCCTCCTTTATTACCACGTACATTATATTATATCTTTCGGTACCAAGTGACGTAGGGTTTTATTTTTGCCGCGTATATTATATATCATACACGCCGATCCTAAAAAGTCCCTACCGATCGGCGTTCGAGTGACGATTTTTTGCAAGATGATTTAAGAAAGAAAAAAAAAAAGCCTCTTCCAACGAACGGAAGATCATAGGTATACCGAGCGCGCTACTCTTTTATACATCGCCCGCGCAACTATCCCCAATAAGAGGGGTGGGGTTGCCTTTCTTTCCCTTTCCGCGTTTCCACTCGGCGAAGCGCAAAAAGGACGCGCTAAGCTGAAAAATGTCCTGCATGCGCCTGGTGCGACGAGGTTTACTTGTATTGTAACTCGTGGTGGTGGGTCGAGCGCTCAACTCTTAAATGTTGACTGAAACCAGTTTTATCGAATAGGTAAATGTGTGCGACTACGAGCATGTAATGGGCTTTGTACGTTTTTGTGGCGTCAGACGGGCTTTTGCGATTTATTGCCAATATAACAATGAATTCAAGGGAAGGGACACATTTTTAAGGCGCTATACGCTTGTCTGCTGGAGCGATGAAATTGGGAATGGTATTATTATGGTATATTATGCGCCATAGAATATCTTTGGACGTTCGGAATCCTTTTTTTTTTTTTTTTTTTTTTTTTTTTTTTTTTTTTTTTTTTTTTTGAGCTCGAGAGACGATACACCACCTCTGTACGTAGGTAAGTAAGTACCTATACCTGCAGGGAGTAAAGAAGAAAAAAAAAAAAAAAAGTTGCGGAAGATTTGCCGAGATTGGAGTAAGTACTTATATCGAAAAATATCCCGAGTATCCCCGCGAGAGTTCCACGTCGTACTGGATACTTGAATTTAATTATGCCTCCGCATGGTTCCCTCAGACCTTTTTCTTTTCTTTTTTCAAGCTGCAGAATTTAATGAAAAAAAAAAAAAAAAAAAAAAAAAAAAAAAAAAAATCCTTCATTTCAAACTCCCATTAAAGTTTTTAATCATGATCTTATTCCTTGGACTTTACCATTGAATTGACGTACCCATATATGTCCCAGTATTTTTGTCGATAGCTTTCAACAACGTATAATTATTTTTACTTGCCCAATGACCTTAAATGTGTAAAAAAAAAAAAAAATAGCCCGTAAAGAAGAAAAGTTAAACAGTATAGAGTGTCGATAAAAAACGATCGAGTAGAGGCCGCGGGAGGGGGTGGGGGTGGTAATTAAAAAGGAAAGCAGGACAGGTGTCTCTCTAATAGCCGGAGAAGAGGAGTACTTACAAAGGAAGAAAGAAAGCACACGTGCAACCTGCGTACAAGCATAGGATAAGAGAGTACATAGTACAATATATATATATATATACCTATATACAGCCGGGGAAGAGAGGAAACCAGGAAAGGCACTTCCGGGCAAAGTAGCCGTCCTCGTGCACGGGGGTTGGCGCGGGAGGGGGGGTGGGGAAATAATCGCACGCGTCCTTTTGCGGGTGGACCTTATTCGTTTTTCCAGCTTTTAACTTTTCAGCTCGTCTATAACCGCCGTGCGGGGTATGATGTTTAATTCAAGAGGCGAGACCGGTAACATATGGTCGGCCCACACGTCAGCGCGCCGTACATATATACGTGTATACGCGGTGGAGTCTCCCGGCAATCCGGATAAGTGGTCATGCATTTATGGAGCCAACGCCACCTCCCCCGTCCCCCCTTCGTCGGGAGACCGGGAAGAGAGAGTGTTTTTATTTATCATATATACGTGTGCTCACGCGTGTTTATATATATATACCTAGATATACTTAGTTTCACCTCCGATATCAATGTAATGTCATATATACCTAATAGGAGATGCACGTTGATTCGTTGTCTTTGGTCTTTCCGTCGCTTCGTTTTTCAATGACATTTTTGATGATACTTCATGCGCTCGAGCAACGATATACCTTGCGCGTTTATACGAATGGCATTTTTGGGTCAAAGCTGTCATGAAATTAATCAAACTTGAACTGTATATGTATACTTAATATTATTGTACAAGCATCCGCGTGATAATATACAAGTGCAAAAGTACTTGTAAACAAAAACAAATAAGAAAAAGAAAACGAAAATAGACGCAATGTTTAATAAATGTAAAGAAAGGAAGAAAAAAAAAAAAAATGGCGTTTGGAGGTGCTGGGATTTGAACCCAGGACTTTCAGCATGCGAAGCAGACACTCTACCACTGAGTTACACCCCCAAGGTACGGTCGTTGGGTCACAGAGACATTGTTGAGGCGCTGGCTCCCTCGGCGCTCGGCTTTTACATCGGAGTCCGGCATCGGCGCGAAAAACAAAAACGTTCGATGATAAATAAGGTACTTGCTTGCAGTTCCCATAATCCCGGAGTTCATCTACGACATGAGACATCCGAACGCCACCTTGAGCCAGCACCTCGACGAGGCCGTTCATCACGGGCCAACGACGACTACCCCACCGACGACACCCGGATGCTCCTGCGCCCCGAACAACTCCAACAACTCGCCCCTTGAGTTCATCCTGTCCACACCCCCCACCGACATCGGTTTGTTTGTTTGTTTGTTTTGTTTGTTTTTTTTTTTCACTGCAGTCTTATACCTATGGTACAACCATTATATTATATGAATGACAATTAAAAAAAAATTGTCCTCGATCTATAC